GGGGTCAGACCTGTGGGCTGCAGGACGGGCAGGACCCTGAGGTCACACCAGCCAAGTCATGCCTGGTGTATTGGCACCGGGGTACGGATCCTGCCTGCTGGGGGATGTGTGGGCTGGGCAGCACTTGTGGGCATCCCGGAGCAAATGCCTTGTGCCTCCAAGCCCTGTCTGCAAAGGCATAACCTCTTTTCCTTCCATCCCAGCTTCAGGAGCAGCCACTCGCCTCAGAGTGCCAGCTCCCCAGGTTGGCACTGCCTGCTCATCCCCTCGGGGCACTCAGTGGAGATTTTTGAGGTGGGAGACAGCACTTGGAAGTGGGTGCAGGCACTGCCTGATCCCCCCGTATCTACATACAGGTACCTGTCCCATGCCTGCCGTATCCCAGCTTCTCAAGATGCCAACTCCTGCGGGACGCCGCAGCGCTCTGCGGCCGGCTCAGATTTATCCATTATTTTATATCCACACGCCTTTAATTTTTACAGCCCTGTTGGAGCAATACCCAGGGTTGTTAATAACGCCAGCCCCTCCGCCTCCCATGTGCATCCATCATGCTCCCACCAAGGTGCCAAGCAGGTCTCGGGGCTGGGTAAGTGCAGGCATGAGCAGGCTGGTGTGGTTCTGTGCCCCCACCCTCCAGCCAGCCCCCCCGGTGAGCTGCAGGGTCGAGCACCCCATGCCCACCCACGAAGCAGCCTGGGTCCGGATGCCCTTGCACTCCAGTGGGGTTGGTGGTGCCCAGCTGATCAGGGTGCCCAAGACGGGGGTGTCTCTGGTGGGGTTCACAGAGCCCCTCTGCCCAGGCATGTGCCCCAGGAAAGCTTTGCTGCAACGCCCGCGTGTGTGTGCGTGCCAAGGTACATGTGCCTGTAACAGGAGCTGGACAGCAGTGCATGTTTTGAGTCTGTGTGTGTTTGTGGGGATGCGCACAGCCTGTGTGTCTGTACTGGTGCATGCTGGTGTGCACGGGTGTACATGCAATGTACACGTGTGCCACTGTCTGTGCGTGTGCTGTTGCATGTCTCCATGCTGCAGTAGGCACCTTGCCTGGGCCATGCCCAGCACCCTGGCACCCCAGCACAGGAGAGCGCAGCCTCAACCACCCCAGGCAGTGAGGGCTGTGCCTGGGGCCGTCCCACAGTGCCCACTGGACAAGACAGCATGTCCCACGCCAGCTGAGCCACCCGTCCCACGCCAGGCAGGGTCCCTGTGCTGCATGTGGCACAGCACCCAGTGTGTGCTGCCTGGGGCTCCCACCCCAGGAAGACCCAGGGCCCCCTCCAACCCCCCAGTGCTGTGCAGAAGTGGCGGGCAAGGGTGGCAGGACACCCCTGAGCACGACAGGCAGGACGGCTGCACGGGGCCAGGGTACGTGGCCACTGTGGGGGGCTGCCACGGGCGGTGGGAATTGCTGGGCTATAAATCTCCTTGCTGGGCCCCCCCGTGGCAGAGCTGCTCACGATATTTATGTTGGGGATTTATCTGCAATGCAGTTTAATATTCCCGGACCTTCGCATGTGTGCGTGTGTGTATGAGTGCATGGCCCCCTCCCCATGCCACCCCGTGCC